GCATTTCTGTCTCTACCATAGCATCTCACCATCTTTACACACATTGTGCCCTCCCTGTCGTCCCCTGCCCCTGGCCAAATACCAGGTCAAGCTTTAGATTATGTAGAAGATGACAGGGTCAGATCATCACTGAGTATATGATACTTCCAAAATAACGATCCTGGTGGGAGCATCTGCTCGAATCCCTTGCCTTCGGATAAGTGACCTGTCGAAACCATGCAAGACAGAGTGGCTTGCTTTAGTTTTTAGTATCTGCTGCAGAGATACTAAACTAGTGTCTCATGAGGCTAAACATGCGCCACAGGACTTCACACAGAATTCCAAATTTCTGACTTGTCTTAAATAATATAACAGAAAGGTTTAACAACAAAGGTCCTTTATTCATGGCTGGTGTCATCCAGCTGGAGCCAGGCAGTAGCTGCTACACACCTGAGATGGCCATTCTAACCCGGTTCCCATCACCTGGCAGCCTGAGGCAGTCACTGTCCCTGCTGGGACCTGGTAGGTGGCAGAGTCTGTGATCTCTGCTCTATTTATTACCTGAAAGATCGAGTTTTTTTCCTTAGGTATAACTTAATTTGATGCAATTTAATTTTCTTAGGTATAATTGAATCTCTCTTTAGTTTCCTCCCTCTTATTTAATCATTTCTGGATTTAATATTCTCTTCTTGGTAAGTTTCTTGGTCATCTTTTTGGTCAAGGATGAACCACTGCAATTTATTGATTTCCTTTCTTTTATGTCCCGATATTCATCCCTTTGATCATCCACATCAATCTTATTGGGACACTCTAGTTTTCCCGTGCCCTTTAAAAGATATCTGGAAATGAGTTAGATAAAAGGAATCCAGGTATTAGAACTGAAATATCGCGACAAACAAAACTCCACTCCGATGCAGATGGAGTGGGCTTTGACCTTGGCAAGTTAAAAATCATTGTCGTGTTTCTTAATCTATGAGGTTTTGCCAAATCTCTTTGGGCTACAAGTCACACGAGCTCCTGGGCTGGCTGCAGACTCAGTCTCATAAGCACGGCACCCTCTCGTCCCAAGGACCAGGCTGAGGGAGAAGCTTGGTTAATCTCCACACTCTCACCTGCGGTAGCATTTCCAGGTACAGCTCTAGACGTTATCTTAGACCCCAGCCCACCCCCCAATTTAATAGGAGCTCATTGACTACAAGTCAGATTTTTGGCTTTACTGTGTTCCCATTTCTAATAATCGTATTATTCATACTAATGACAGAAGCAAGTACACACAAAACTTACATTGTGCCTGGCACGCTTACACGTGTTTTGCGTGGTTCTGCACAAACCAACAACCCTAAGAGGTAGGTATGACGATTATTGCATTTTATAGAGATGAAACAGAGATTTGGAACTTGGAGAGATTAAGAGACTCTTCCAAGGTTGTGCCACCAGGAAGTGACAGAGATGGGATTTGAACCGGGACAGGCTCATGCTCCAAAGTTCTTGTGCTAATCGTTATGCCATATTGCTTCTCTTACTAAAAAAAAAAACCAAACTTTAGAATATTTGGAATCACAAAAATATTTGATTTAAATGCGTTGTTTTCAACCTTAGGTTGCTGGTGCTTGTTTCTTTTAGCCTCATTTGGCTAGTGTAGGGAGACATCTGGTGGCCATTCTGGTTTTTTTAACTTTTTATTATGGAAAATTTCAAATCTATACAAAGTAAACAGAATAGTATAATCAACCCCCCTCTGAAGAGAAGTTGATGAATGGGTACAAATGTATGATTTCACAGAAGAAATAAAACCTAGTGTTTGATAGGTCATCAGTAGGGTGACTATAGTTTACAATAATCTATTGTATATTTCAAATAGCTAGAAGGGAAGAATTTGATTCTAGCATAAAGAAAAGACAAATATTTAAGGTGATGAATAATAGCTCATGGTTTTCTCTTTACAAATTATATGAATATTTACATGTACCCCAAAATGATATACATCCATTATGCATCGATAATAAATACATAAATAAATAAATCCTCCATCCCTACCACCTGGCTTCAACAACTAACATTTTGTCATTCTGTTTTCCTTTGTACTTCCAGCCACTCTCCACTCCTTTCCCACTCATTTATTTTTTATGATTCTTTTCTAAAAATAAAATGCACAGGGGTCGAAATGCACACAATTTTAACAACTTGTCTTGACAAACAGATACACCCGTGTAACTCACAGCCCTATCAAGATACAGAATGTGGCCGGGCACGTTGGCTCATGCCTGTAATCCTAGCACTCTGGGAGGTCGAGGCGGGCGGATTGTTTGAGCTCTGGAGTTCGAGACCAGCCTGAGCAAGAGCGAGACCCCGTCTCTACTAAAATAGAAAAAATTAGCCAGGCATGGTGGCAGATGCCTGTAGTCTCAGCTACTCAGGAGGCTGAGTCAGAAGGATCGCTTGAGCCCAGGAGTCTGAGGTTGCTGCGAGCTAGGCTGATGCCACGGCACTCTAGCCCGGGCAACAGAGTGAGATTCTGTCTCAAAAAAAAAAAAAAAAAGATACAGAATGTTTCTGTCACTCCAAAAATGTCCTTTGCCTGACAACTACCCAACCAGGCAACAATTGTTCTGATTTTCCACTGTGGATTAGTTTTGCTTGTCCTAGAGTGCCACACAGATGGAATCATACAGGATGTACGCTTTTGTGTGTGGGTTCTTTCACTCAGCATAATGTCCACGAGAGTCATCTGCGCGCTCTTGCGCACACCCATTATTTCTCTTTTGCGGCTGTGCTCATTCTATTGTGCAGATGTACCCCAGCCGTTCTGCAATGATGGCTATTTGGATTGTTTCCAGTTTGGGGCCATTCTGAATAAAGTTGAGCATGAGCTGAATTTCATGTTCAAGTCTTTCGGTGGACATGTGTTTACATCTCTCTTGTATAAATACTGAGGGATGGAATTGCTCGATCAAAGGCTGAAGGCATGGTTAACTTCATTAGAAACTGCCAGATCTTTCCCTAAAGTGACCGGATCCCTCGTCATTCCTCCTAGAAATGTAAGAGAATTCTGTCCACTCCACATCCTCACCGGTGTTTGGTGTTGTCACTATTTTTCATTTTAACTATTCTGGTGGTATCTTGTGCCTTTATAGTAATTTCCATTTCTCGGATGACTAATGATGTTGAGAGATTTTCTATGCACTTCTTGACCATTTGTCTGTCTTCCTTTGTGAAGTGTCCATTCAAGTCTCTGGCCCAATTATTATCAGGTTTTTCTTTTTCTTATTGGACTGTAGGTGCCTTCTATTCCTGATACAGATTCTTTGTAGCTATATATTTTGTGAATATTTTCCACCAGTCTGTGCTTCGTCTATTCATTTCCTTAACAGTGTGTTCTGATAAGAAGTTTTGTATTTGATGGAGTCTAGTTTCTTATTTTTTTTTTCCTTTTATCGTTATTTCTTTCTGTGTCCTGTCTAAGAAATCTTTGCCTTCCTCTGGTTACAAAGATAATCGCTTGCTTTCTTCTAAGTAGCTTTACAGATTTTACATTTACATATAGGTCTAAGATCCATCTTGAGTTAAAAAAATATGTGTGTGTGTGTGTGTGTGTATATGTGTGTAGCATAAGGTAGGGATTGAAATGCATTTTTTTTCCTTATCGATATCTGATTGTTCCTGAGCCATTAGTTGAAAAGATTTTCCATTTCTTCACTGAATTGTTGTAGTACCTTTCCCAAAAATCGGTTCATCCACAGTCTGGATTACTTAAAGTTAAGAAGTGTGAGTCCTCTAGCTGTGTGTTTCTTTTGCAAGGTTGTTTTGGCTATTCTGGGATCTCTGCACACCCATATGTGCTAGTTTTCAATGTACGGCCTCTCGGATCTGAATTCACCCCGCAGCACCTGCTCTGCCGCGAACTGGGCTTCCTTAGCATTTCTCCTTGAAGTGAGCACGATATTAATTTTTGTCGCTAGAGGGCGCTAGAGGAAGATTGCGACAGCAGCGGGGCTACTCTTCCTGCTTCCCTTCGCTAGGTTTTGCTTTTTCTTGTTTTTCTGGCTGTACAGTCTGGGGCACAGTGATCCATGGGTGGGACATGCCTTAACTGTGTACCCAGAGCACCGTCCCTCGGTGACCTCACAGCTCTGGCCACAGGCCTGGCGACCATTTTGCAACACAGACCATTTTGCAATCCCATACTCCAGGCTTTGCACCTACTCTCGACCTCACTCCAGAAGCACAATTGCCATCTGGCCTCAGCTTGCCTGAGCCCTGGAGGGTTGATGCCCATGGCCCACCACGGCCCCTGTCCCAGCAGTCCCTGTGCCCGGTGACCGTGGAACAGCTCTAGCCCTAGTAACCTGGTGACATTCTCTGCCACCCAGTGAGCTGTGACCACACCTTCTCCAGTGAGCTCTAAAGCCCAGCCTTAGGGAGGGACACCCAAGTTTGTCCTTCCTCGAATACTCCTCTGTAACAAGAAATTCCCTTTCTGACCCAAACTCCTCATCACTCACCTTGGAATTACCCAGAGTTTCGACAGTTAACACGTATTGAATGCGTGGTAGTCAGGAAAGTGACCTGTAAGTCAGGCTGTCTAAGTTCATATTCTGACTCTGCCCTTTGGCAGATCTTGGGCAGGGTTTATAACATCCATGTGCCTCAGTTTCCTCATCTGTAGAATGGGTATGATAACAGTGCTTAACTTCAGAGAGTCAGCATCCGGATTAAATGAGATAATAAAAGTCAAGCATTTCAAATAGGACCAGACACAATAAATGCTCGGTTCCTGTTAGCTGCTGTTGCTGTATTGTCATATATGCTTTCGTTCTTATCATCTTGTATCCCTAACCAGGTTGTAAACTCTCAATGAACACAGCATCATTTAAGCCCGACTCTCTACTGCCCCAGGGTTTAGCATCTTGCTATTTCCACGCATTAGACGTGTAACAGATGTCACCGAATAAATGAGCTGCTAAGGAATGTTCTGTTTCCTGTAGAAAGAAGAAGTGAGGAGGAAGCACATTCGTCTGCACATGGAGGGGACGCTGACTGCCCGGGACAAGGTCGGGGTGCAGGATTTTGTGCTGCTGGACGCGTACACCAGCGAAACTGCTTTTGTGGACAACCTTCGCAAGCGTTTCAGCGAGAATCTCATATACGTAACTTGACCCATTTCTCAGCCGTTTTCCCGGAGTGGTGGTTCCCTTCCTGCCTTCACAGCTTTGATGACTGTGCACAGTATCACTCTATTCGGTTAGCCTTTAAAGGGAGGTGTCAAGGGACCGCTGTCAGGTGCAATTTCGATCCTTTGTGCTAAGGCTTTTGTGGCTGCCAGAGACAGAGACCCAACTTCAACTGGCCTAAACCACAAAAGGGGATCTGTTGACATTTGTAACTCAGGAGTCCAGGAATAGATCTAGGTTTCTGGGTGATGTCCTGAGGACTCTTTCTCTCTCTCTCCGCTCTGCTTTCTTTTGCATCAGTTCCCTTCTGAGGCAGCCTCTCTTTGCCAGGGGACAAGACGGCTGCCCTCAGATCCAGGCTGACGTTTCATCAGCTTAGTGTTGCTGCTGAGAAGGGAGCAGTCCTAGTAAACATCCCAGTGCTGACGTTGCTCGGCTCTGATTGGCCCATCTTGGGGGTGTGCCTATCTCAGAACCAATCCCCATGGCGAGGAAGGAGGACTATTCTGATTGGCCAGGCTGGGTTCCCAGGCCTGCCCCGGGGGTGATTGCCCTGTGGACAGAGAGCCGGGAAGAGTGCTCCTCCAAGGGCTCTGTGGGAAGAAGAGGGGAGCAAGGCCAAGCGGGCGAAAATAAGAGATGTCCACCAACCACATCCCATGAATCTTTACCAAACACTTCTCAGATCGATCTTGTCGCCTCTAATAGTAGGCAGTTTTTACTAAATTGTCCATATATCACCACGCCCTGATTTGATTGGTCAATTTTCAGTTGTATCCTCTAGGATAAACTTCTAGCGTCTCTGTGTGTGTCACGGGATGCTATTAAAATTATTCAATTTTTTTTTGAGATGGTATTTGCTAAGAGTAAATTAGACAATCAGAAGCAGTTTAAAATTATTTGTCATATAGCTATTTTATTTGTAATGGTGACTGTGACTTAATTTATATGTGGAAACCAAGGTTACCAGAAGAAATAAGCAAGGTGTTTTTTAGAGTTTATATCCTGTAGCCTAACTTTCAGAATTATCACCCTTAATTGTAGAAGTAGAAAAAAAAATTAAACTAATTTTCTGTGTAAGCAAAGGAGAAATAGCGTGGTATGTAGAAGCACAGATGGGATGATAAGATCTTCAAGATTAGGTAAAATGTTTCTGATTGGAACTGATAAATTTCAGAAACTGTCTTCCACCCTGGAAGACCAGATTTCTCCTAGATTCAAGCAATGCAGAATTTTAATCAAAATACTCTTCTCTGTTCCAGTTTCTCTGTTTGATTTTTGTCCTGGAAATTGGAAACATTAGCAAGAACGATTTTAGCATAATCTTAAAGCAGGCTTTGGTAGGTCCTGCATTTGAAACAACAACAAACTCAGAATCTGAAAATATCAGATGTATTTTCAAAGGGGCCCAATTTTCCTATATGAGAGCTTGGAGCTGTTTGTTTATTCATAATTATACTCCAGGAAGTTGTATGTTAGTGGTTATATTGCAAATATGAGTGCTTGAAGAACTTGAATATGAATAGGGTGTAATGTTGAAATCCAGGGAAATCTGTGCTAGCAGTGGGAATATTTTGCCCAGTTTTAGAAGGCTGGTAGGTATACCCAACCTGCTTTCACTCAATGGCCAGAGAGACCTTTGTGAAACATAAACCAGATCACCGTGCTCCTCTCTTAAAGCCAGCCATTCATGTCCCAGTTCAGGGCAGGTATTTCCTTTCAGTAGGGGAGGACAGTGTCCCTGCCATTGTTGCATTTGGAATAAAACCCCATTTTCTCGCAGCAGCCCCAAAGGCCTGTGTGATCCGAACCTGCTTCCTCTTGGACGTTCTCTTACCGTTCTCCATTCTTCCATCTCTCACAGGCTTCGGCCACACTGGCCTCCCGTGCAGCCAGCCTGTCACACGTGGCCAAGTCTCGGCTCAGATGTCACCTCCTTTTAAAGAAGCCTTCCCTGTGCCCGCTAGCTAAAATGGCCTGCCTTAGTCATCAATGCTCTTGTTACCCTACGTACTCCTTTCTTAACACTGTCTCTCACTGAAGCTGTCTTGACTCTTTGGTGGTTTGTCTTCCCTGCCCCGTCCGTATGTAAGCTCCCAGCGCAGCCTGATTCATCATGTCACATCCTCAGCACTGAATGGGGAGCATAGTGTGTTTTTAACAAATTTATTTATTTTTATTTCAGATATTATGGGGGTACAAATGTTTAGGTTACATATATTGCCTTTGCCCCACCCAAGTCAGAGCTGCTTCTGCACCCTGGAATCCCTCACTTGTGCTTTGGTCCGTTTCTCCAGACATACATTGGGACCCTCCTTGTCTCCGTGAATCCGTACCAGGAGCTGGGAATCTACACCGTGAGCCAGATGGAACTTTATCAAGGGGTCAATTTCTTTGAACTGCCACCACATGTGTAAGTAACATCCACAGCATCATCACTAGTACTATTTTTTTATTTTTTTCCCCTTCCTTTCTCTTTTTCTTTTTCCCACCCCTTCTCCCTCCTTCCCATGGTGCATCCATCCATCCATCCATCCAAATTTTTCATGCGCGTTCATGAGGTTCTGAACTTAAGCTCTTGCCTTCTCGTGAAATGTCTTTCAGAGCAGTAGAAAACTATAGGTCTGATGGAATCTCAGCTTAAATATGACAAGGGGTGGAATCTTTGTGTCACTGTGGAGAAGTATGGCCAGAGAGGTGTCTTCTCTGGGAAAGGGGCAGCTATAGTGCCAGCTACTGGTGCCTGAGTATCATGGCAGCCCCTGAGACCGCCCATTGATGGAAACTTACCAGGGCTGCAGAAGCTTAAGATGATTAATTTCCTGCCCAGTCTACATGACTCCAGCTTTGCTGAATTTCCTAGTTCTCCATCTTGGTTGACTTCTGGGCTAAGATATAGGTTCTCCTTTCATTTGTCTTGGTGACTTAGCTATTCTACTTCCTAAGACGTTTATAAAACTTTCTGCATTATCACCATAGTTTGACAGCTGAAATAGCTTTCAAACTCTGCCACACGCTAAGATCATACTCTTGGGAGACTTTCATGCTTTTGTTTCTGATCTTGGAGACGAAGCCCTTATAATAGTTTTATTAATACCTCTTGTCCTAAAGATATCACAGAAGTCTTTTCATCTCTTTGGTTTCCTACCACTGCATTCTTAGTACTCTAGGTTTTGAGGGAAAGAAAAAACATGAGATCTTATTATATTTATTGAATTATTTAACATTTAGACAAAATGTTATTTCCACCTACAGTTAATGGACTGTCTCTTGGGGATGTAGTTTAGTATCTGGCTTATTTTTATAAGAAATGTTGATGCATTTTAAAAAATAAATGTAAATTTTGAAAAATGTTTTTGTTACTGCTCAAATTTTTCACTTCAACTCTTCTACTATTTGAGTTTTGCTATCTAGTACACTTTATATTTGATCAGTCAGTGGGTCACGGTAGGGATTTGACACCTGTCTGAGCCCAGTGTCCTTGTACCACAGTCTGGATGTGGCTTCCTGGAGGTGGCGTGTTTTGTCCTTCTCTAGTGGGTGTCAGAGCCAAGGGAAGTAGCGTTAAAACCAATTTGTGGCTGGGGTGGCGGCTCACACCTGTAATCCTAGCACTTTGGGAGGCCAAGGCAGGAGGATTGCTTGAGGCCAGGAGTTTGAGACCAGCCTGAGCGAGAGTGAGACTGTGTCTCTACAGAAAATAGAAAAATTAGCCAAGCATGGTGGCACACATCTGTAGTCCCAGCTACTTGGGAGGCTGAGGGAGGAGGATCACTTGAGCCCAGGAGTTTGAGGTTGCTGTGAGCTATGATGACACCACTGTACCCTAACCTGGACAACAGAGCCGGACCCTGTCTCAGAAAAAAAAAAAAAATTTTTGTTTGTTTCTGTCTGACTCCTTCTCCAGCTATGCCATAGCTGACAACGCTTACCGCATGATGTGCTCTGAACTAAATAACCACTTCATCCTCATTTCTGGAGAGAGCGGGGCAGGGAAAACGGAGGCCTCCAAGAAGATTCTTCAGTATTTTGCGGTGACCTGTCCAATGACCCAGTCACTACAAATAGCCCGAGACAGACTGTTGCTCTCCAATCCAGTGCTGGAGGTAAGCGATCTCTGAGGACCAATGGTGGGTAGTTCTGGGGAGGGTCACTAGGTAAGAAGAATCCTCTGCCTGGGCATGTCAGTCAAAATGGGCAGGTCACTGTTAAAAAGAGGGGTCTCACTGGAGTGTCATGTTAAGGGTGTGACCTGGAAGTAAGTCTGGCAGGCTTGGGTACTAATTCCAGCATGACCAAGCACCAGCAAGCTTCAGCAAGTCCCTCCAAATCCCAGAGCCCGTTTTTCCATTTGCAGGATGGGTCTGCTCATAGTACCTGCTTCTTAAGAGGTTTTGAAGATTAAATGAAATGAATACACGAAAGGCACACTGCAGAATTAATAAACACTAAAATAATGCTTTATGATTTTTTTAAGATTTTTCTTATCAAAATAATTTTGGTTATTATTATGTCTTCTATTACAATTCAGTGACTTGTTGGCTGCTACTGAACAAGTCGTTTTCTCCTGTGTTTTTGTGGCTCTTTCTGTAAAAGAAGATGTCTGTGGTTGAAGGACTTTTCCCTGTAGACCCTTTGAGCTAAACAATTTGATATAAGAAGGGGTCCATTGATGGGGGCTATCCACTGTGCTTTCTAAAACAGTGAGGGCCCGGGTTCCTATGGACCTTTCCCTAGGATATGTCTAATATATTCCTAGATTGGATTCTAGGGAGAAGATATTTTTCCCTTCTTTTCCCTGGGTCCAAATACAGCATTTGGCATTAAATTCTCTATAGGTAGTGATTCCTTCTGAGAAGATAAAGTGTGGCTTTCCTCCCTGGCTTCTCCCTCTCTCCTCCATTTGCATAATAAGCATGTCATTTGGGGGCAGAAATTTGACAAGCATGATGAGCTTAAATGACAGCGAATGACACTTTGTATTCCAAGGCTTTTGGAAATGCCAAAACACTCCGGAATGACAACTCCAGCAGATTTGGAAAATACATGGACATACAGTTTGACTTTCAGGTACACTGAAGTTCCTATTACTGGTTCACGGGGTCCCTTCTTTCGCCAGTGATGGAATGCAACCCAAGGCCTCTTAAGGAAGGAAGGGCATTCATTGGCTCAACAGTTAAAAAAAAACCCAGGGTTAGTACTAGCTGGGCAAAAATGAAGAAGTCTGATAATACCAGATGTTGAGAAAGATGCAGATCATTAGGAATTCTTACACATTGCTGGTGGGGTGTTCATTGGTGCAACCCATTTGGAAAACAGTAGGTTGCAGCAACGATTATGGTACTATTTTGGGAAGTTGAAATCACGTAACCTAAGGTGTAGCCCTTCCACTCCCAGAGATACCCGTATAGACGTGTAAGCAGGTCGACGACAGAACTGCTCGTGATGGTAAAAGTACTGAACGCAACCAACACAACTGCAGAGAACTGAATGTCCCTCAATAGGAGAATGATTCGTTAAATTGTGGTATGTTCGCAAATGAGGTACCATACCACAGTGAGAGCAAATGAACGACAGCAACACCTAATGTGGATGAGTGGGTCTTGGGAATATACCCGGTGCCAGTGTGATACCATTTTTAGAAAGCTTGAAAACGAGTCACAAGTAAATGGTATATTGTTTTGGCATGCCTACTTCAGTGGCAGGAGTCGGCAAACTTTTTCAGTTAGGGCCAGAGAGCAAATAATTTAGGCTTTGTGGGCCATACAGCCATACAGTTGCAACTACTCAACTCTTCTGTTGTGGCATGAAAGCAGCCACAGATGTAAATGAATGAGCGTGGTTGTGTTGTACACGGAATTTCAATGGGGCTAATGCACGTGGGAAGGGTAGACAAAATTCTCAAGGGCATGTGATTCTAAGTGGTCAAATGACAGTTAGACCAGAAGACAATAGGTATCTGAGCACTGAGCACAGCAATAAGAACAGATTGGCACAGTGGTCCCCAGAGGCTGGTATGTGGACCTCTAATGGAGCATGAATAGACTTTGAAAGAAATGTAATCACTAGGTATATTTTAAAGCCTTTTACCGAAATTCAACACGTACTGAAAAGGCCATGAAGCGTAAGGACAGCCCAGTGAATTTTTACATACATATTCACCTGTGTACCCACTACTCAGATCAAGACATAGAAATTTCTAGCATCCAGAGGTTTTTCTGCCCTTCCCCAACACTGTCTCACTTCCCCTGGCCCACTGTTCTGACCTTTATAATCCCAGATTTGTTTTGCTGGTCATTGAACTTCATATAAATGGAATGGTATCGTATGTTCCATTTTGTGTCTGGCTTCTTTCCAGCAACATTATATCTGAGATGCATCCGTGTCATTGCATGTGTGTGGCATTTGTGCATTTTTTGATTCTCTGACCATATCACAATTTAGTTGTTCTCCTGTTGATGGACATTTGGGTGGTTTGCAATTCGGGACTATCAGAACATCCTTGCTTGTGTGTTTTAGTAGATGCAAACACTAATTTATGTTGGGTATAGACCCAGAAGTGGAATTGTTGGGTTCTTACCAGCCATGTTAGGGTACAGAATGACAATGCTGGTTGCTGCCCACCCTTGTCAACATGTGTATTGTTAGTCCTTTTAGTTTTAGAAATTCTGGTGGGGCAGAGTGGTTTTTCACTGTGATTTGAGTTTGCATTAATCTCTCTCTGATAATTAATGAAGTTTCGCTTCTTGGCCACTTAAAGGTCTTCTTTTTCATTCAAGTCTTTTGCCTATTTTTAACTGGGTTGTCTGTTTTTTCTTATAGATTTTCAAGAATTCTATATATGTTCTGGAATAAAAATCCCTTATTGGATATATTAAAAATAATAATTAAACAGTGTGATATTGACACAAGGATAGATAACAAAGCCAATGGACTAGAATAGATTCCAGAAAGATCCCCACATATACAGTCACTTCACGTATGACAGAAACACCACTGTGATTCAGTAGAATCACAGTAGAATCCGTCTTTCCAATGAATGGTGCTGATCAAATGGATACCAATATAAAGACCTTTGACCTCACTCCATATCTACAATTAAATAATGATGGCTTATAGTCCTAATTGGTAAAACAATCATGCTTCTAGACAAAAACATAAAAAACATCTTCATGACCTTGGGGTAGGCAAAAATCTTTTTAAACAGAACCCAGAACACACTAATGAGAGCAGATTGCTAGATTGGACTTCATGCAAATTAAGCACTTCTGTTCATCAGAAGCTACCGGGAATAGAGCGATGGCTTGGTTGTTTGTCATGCTGCATCTTTTGTTCTGTTTCGAAGGGCGTTCCCGTGGGTGGGCATATCATCAGTTACTTGATAGAAAAGTCCCGAGTCGTCTATCAAAACCAGGGGGAGCGGAATTTCCACATCTTCTACCAGCTGCTAGCCGGCGGTGAGGAGGAGCGCCTCGCTTACCTGGGACTTGAACGAGACCCCCAGCTGTATAAATACCTCTCACAGGTTGGCGGGATCAGCACCTGGCTTGGGTGACCCTTTGGAGGGGGGAATCAGGGGCGTTTGTGGGGGCTGCTATAGGATGTTCGAGAACTTTCTATCATCATTTTGGGATGTATCCTACCGGCTGATTTCTTAACTCTTCCCACGAGCAAGCTAATCCATCTCCTCATAGCTGTATCATCTTGGCAAAATAACCAATGCCCTGGCTCAGATTAGAAACACTCAAACAGTTCCCTAAAAACACAAATGCCTGGGCCGCCCTGCCCTGCAGAGATTCAGATTTAGTTGGTCTGGGCTGAGATGCGGGCATCAGAGTTGTTTCAAATGCTCTTCTAGTGATTTAATGCACAGCTAGGGTGAGAATTGCTGGTCTAGATGTGATATTAATAGAAACTGTCCACCTATGTCCATGACCTATGCTACCTCATTTGTCTTTCAAACTACTTTTGAAAAGACCTTTCCCACCTTCCTGTCTTCCCTCTTGAGAACTGTTAGCTGCCAAATGAACAGACTGCCTTAATGGAAAGAGTTCGGGCCATTCCATCCCCGTAAGCAGTGCTAGGGTCTAGCGTTAGAAAACTGACCGTCAGAATTTAACTTTGCAGCATTGGTTTTTCTGCAACCTCCACTAGGGTTCTAGAGTGCCCAGATTATGTAGTTCTTATCAATATTGATGTCACTAGCACCTTTTTGGCCCCAAGATTTTTTTTTTATTTTTCTCCTCTCATGGGATCTGGCTTTGAACTCAGGTCGCCTTGCACAGCGCAGGTTGGGGCATCGTTCAAGAGAGAGAGCAAGGTCTTACTAAAGTGAATCACACAAAATGGGGACCAACTCTTCCTAGAACTCATGGAAGAAAAGAAGGCTCGAGTGAAGCTCACCTTGAAAAATGAAGCTAAATAATCAAGATAAAAGAATCTCAAAGTTTAATTAAAAAAATCCCATAATTTCATTTTTTAATTAATTAATTTTTTGAGACAGAGTCTCCCTCTGTTGCCCAGGCTACAGTGCCGTGATGTCATCATAGTTCACTGCAGCCTCATAACTCCTGGGCTCAAGTGATCCTCCTGCCTCAGCCTCCCAAATAGCTGGGACTATAGGTATGCATCACCATGCCTGGCTAATTTTTCTTTATTTGGTAGAGATGGGGTCTCACTCTTGCTCAGGCTGGTCTTGAACTTCTGACCTCAATCGACCCTCTCGTCTCGGTCTCCCAGAGTGCTAGGATTGCAGGCGTGAGCCACCACGCCTGGCCATTATCTCATTTCATACTTAACAAACTCTGAATTCTCAGAACAAAGAATAAATCAAATTTTATTTTTTACTTTTTCCAGGGACTAATTTTTCCAACAAAGCTGTATGGTTGCATCATATTTGGATTATCATAGCATGATCAGAGAGGGTGAATTTGTAAAAATATTTGAGGGCTTCTTTCATTTTCCCAAGGACATCTCTAACCCTTTGATAATCTAATCATTCTCTTTTGGAATATGTCATGTCTTTTTTTTCCTTTTTTATCAAGAGAGAGTCTTGCTCTGTTGTCCAGGCTAGGGTGTAGTGACATGATCATAGCTTACTGCAGCCTTGAACTAGGCTCAAGTGACATGTCTTTATTTATTTGTGTGTGTGTGTGTGTGTGTGTGTGTGTGTGTGTGTGTGTGAGAATTTAAGGGGTACAGTGCAGTTTTGTTACTTGGATGTATTATGTAGTAGTAAAGTCTGGGCTTTTAGCATAACCATCACTCAGATAAAACATGTCTTTATTCTTGTAGATTTTTTCTGGCCACATAAATTCAGCCAGATCCTTATGCCCCCAGGGGCCTTGGAAATGGTTCTAGCAATTTGCCATTATTATTTTTATCAATTTCATGATCTCCCATAACTTTGGTAAACTTATGGTTTCGCTTTGCGGTATATTTGCACTGCTTCCAAACCAACAGGTGTTCAAGGGAGAGTGACTTGTGCAGACCCTACCCTTGGTGGGGCAGGAACAGACGTTGCTGTATGTTTTTGTGTGGGAAGAGAGATTTTTGTGTGCGTGGGAAGGGATATTTTTGTGTTGTGTGTGTTTTTGTGCGGGAAGTGTTATTTGTAAGGTTGCAAATTTTATACTTAGCCAGTTCTCTAGTGAATGTTTTCATGGTTTGACACCTCTGATTTCCCCAAGCCACAAAGAAATCTTTTAAGGCATATTAAAAATAAAAACACTTGTCTAGAATGTTTTCTCTTTAAATTGGTCGATCTGTTACTTATTTGAAAGCCAACTTCTAGAGCTAGTGGGAAAAGTCTTTTCATATCTCTGCTGGCGATCGTTTCCATACAATCTGTGTTTCTCTAAATGCCAAACTTTTATTTCCTTGAGTGAAAGTCTCTTTCCATCTGGTCCGACAGTGAAGTGTTTCCTGGAGATTTCTAAGTGAGTCAAGATGGTTTTCTGAATTTATGCGCTGTAATTTGCCTGCATGTTTCAGCAGATATTTATTGAGACAAACAGCTTCAGTATATTTAGCAAAAAATGACAAGAAAAACTATGTTTCAAAACACATACAAAAAGATACACAACTAACATGCACCTTTGAGAGTTTTCCCAGAATGGAGATTTTAAAATAAAATTCCACATAAATTTGAAAAAAGTAGTAGTTGGCCGATCATTATGTGCTAGACAATTAAAGTAAAACCTAGGTACCTTTTAAAAAATTCAGTGCCTTATAGAACTAGCTTCCGCATCTTCTTAGAGAGGAATAGATGTGTACCTAATTAACTGTCCTTATAACAATGCTGTTAAGTGACCCAGTTTTCTGCCAACAGGGTCACTGTGCCAAAGAGTCATCTATTAATGACAAGAATGACTGGAAAACTGTTTCCAATGCCTTTGCTGTCATTGATTTTACCGAAGGTGACCTTGAGGTATGAGCCCAGGGGGCAGAACTGCTAGTTCTGTCTGAGATTGAGAAAACAATCCTGGTTTCTTGGTGTTCGCATGGTAGGATTGCCAGATTCAGCAAATAAAAATACAAGATGCCTCGTTCCATATCAATTACGGATAAACAATGAAGAATTTTTTTTAGCTAGAAGTATGTCCCAAATATTGCATGTGGACAAACTTAAACTAAGAACTTAGTCATTGCTTATTTGAAATTCAAATGGGAACTGGGCGCTCTGTTATTTTATCCGGCAACCCTGAATTTTCCTGATGTGTGTCCATGGAGGAGGTGATATTCTTCTTCCTTTAAATTAAGTCCAATCTCAACAACTTAGATCTCATAGAATTACAGGATTCTCATTTATTTAAGCTTATATTTTGGCACAAACTGGAGCAAATTGTGGAATTTACAAATATTTTGATTTTACATCTTTTTTGTCCTTTTTTTCATTTTGATTGTTAAACTGTTAATCTTTCAAGGACTAGAATGTAGTTTTTTTTTTTTTGGTTTTTGGGGGGTTTTTTTGTTTTTTTTTTTTTGCCACACTTTCGAGGTAAGATAGAATGTAGTTTAAAAAAAAAACCCTGAGATCAAGACATTTGAAAATTAAATGGGTTTATTGGTAGGGTTTATTTTCTAAAGTACTTTATAAATTACTCTATAAAAGTGGTTTATGCTATGAAAAATCAATTTCCGTATGTTTTTGTCGTTATGCGAAGCTGAAAGTGGTCTTTCATCTGGAAAGTGCTGGATACTGAGTGAGGCATTTTCCCGCCTTCCTCTGAGGTTCTTTAGCCCCTGCCCTTAAAATCGAAAGAGAATAAGAGGGCTGAGTTCTGGGGAAGGAGGAGGGGTGGGTTCTGGAGCTCAAGTGTGGAATTCGTGAGAAGGAGTGTTTTCCTTTGGGCGTCTCTGCTGGTGACATGCATCCATTAGATGGCCACATTCTCTATCCTTGTCCTCCTGGTCCTCTGTCCTGACCACTTCCCACGTTCCCAGAATCTCTTTGGAGTCATTGCCAGTGTCCTACACCTGGGGAACATTGGTTTTGAAGAAGACGACCAAGGCTGTGCCACCATCCCAGACACCCACGAGATCAAGTGGAGCGCCAAGGTGATGTTCCTCTTTTGGAGGGGACAGAGGGCGGGGCCGGGGTGGGGGAGGAGAGCCAGGCAGCAGGGCGCCCACCGTCAGGCCCAGAGGGCTGCCCTCATGTTCTTGCAGCTGCTACTGGTCAGGAGGTTTACAGAGCTCAGTAGGGGGATGGGGGTAGGGCGGGGGAAGAGCCAGTTGGTTGAGGGATCTAATGCAGTCTGCCTTGTGCTAAAGCACGATGACCCTGGTCATCCATCAGGGTGGACGACCCTGGGCCTGGACGTTCTGTGAGCTCTTTGTAAGTTAGCAAGTAAAACCCAGTCACTGAATGGCACCTTGGATTCTTTTTATTCAGCTCCTGGGGGTCCACCCATCGGTCCTTCTGGAAGCTCTCACCCACAGAAAGATTGAAGCCAAAACTGAGGAGGTAAAAATGGCCCCAGGCGGAAATGCACCTGCCCTCCGGGCCGCAGCTGCCTCCCTCTGATAACAGCAGAATGGTGCCCCTGGGGGAAGCCAAACCCTTGAGCCTAGCTCCCCAGGCCCTGGTGGTCCAGCTCCTGCCAGGGTCTCCAGCCTCATCCTTCCCCCAACCACACCGGTGCTAGCCCTCCATGCCTCGTACTCCTATGTCCTCCCTCCATGGGGTCTTTGCACATGCTGTTCCTTCTGCTGGAACACTGTTCCCTACACTTCATCTAGTTAACTCCTCATCCTCCTTCAGTCCCCAGGGATCACTTCGTCAAGGAGCCTTCTCTGATCATCCCACCTCTACCTCAAAGCGCCCCGTGTGTCTCCTTATAGCACTTGTCACTCTCAACTTGCAACATGACTCTTGCTTGTGCGATTCCTCCCCCGTCACTCTGTCCCTCCCCAGCTGTGAGCCCACCAAGGCCGCGACCGTGTGTCTTGCTCACGGCTGTGTCTCAGCCGCCCAGCACGGTGCCTGGAACAGTGGGCGGCTCAAGAAATAGCCGCTGTGCAAACAAGAGCACCCAGGAGTGGCCTCCTCCCCCAGTTAAAGACTCGTTTGGAAACTCAGGTGCTTTTCTTAATCTAGAATGCTATACCTTGTCATTGTTTTCAGGTGATATGCCCACTGACGCTAGAACTCTCTGTCTACGCAAGAGATGCAATGGCAAAGGCTGTTTATGGACGAACATTTACTTGGCTGGTCAACAAAATCAACTCCTCCTTAGTGAACAAGGTTGGTCAACGCATTTTGGATGACTTGCTCTCACTGATGGGTGACGTTTTATAATCCTCATGGTTTCTTTAAAGAATTTGTGAGAACGGACTGTGGGCTCCTCACGGGCAGGGACAGTGTATTTTCACATTCCCACTTCCAATGCGTGCCAAATGACTGTCTCAGCATGTCCCAAAGTGTGGTACGCACAGGGCTTGTATGCCAGATGGCCTCAAGTGTACGCAGAAACTTTTTTATTTTAACAGTAGTATGTTTTAATGTGTGTAAGAAAAAAACATATTAGCCAGGCATGGTGGCTTGTGCTTGTAATCCTAGCACTTTGGGAGGCCAAGACGGTAGGATTTCTTGAGGCCAGGAGTT